CCTGAAGGAGAAGATGGAGGCTGGCGGAGGTGTCCCAAATGGAATCCCTGCAGAAGACTCTGGGCAGCCGGCATCTGGGGAAGAGGCTGGGGATCCGGACTGCCTGAAACCCCTCCACGAGGAGGACTCTGAGAGTGGCGGTGGCAAGGACTGAGTCCAGGCCTGTGATGTGCAGAGGGTCTAGAACTGAACTCAGGACGCCCAGGGCCACTCTGCCTCCGCCTGCATTCCACTGTGTGCCCTCGGGCGAGTCACTGCCCCTCCCTGGCCTTCAGTTTCCCTATCTTGAACACGGAGCTCATGCCTGCCTGTCTCCTTTGCAGGCTCATAGGGAGGACCTGCTGAGGGACCAGCCAGGAGGGCTGCAAAAGTGAGGGTTTGTCATTACCAGACAGTCCACCAGCCTTTCTTGGTTTCCTTCCTTGGAAGAGAATGTCTGATCTAAATGTGGAGAAACTGTAGTCCCAGGACCTAGGGATGTTCTGGCCCTCACACCTTCCCTGGGATGTCCACAGATGCCTCCCGCCCCCCCCCCCCCCCCCCCCCCCGCAGAACCTGTCCCTGCCCACTCCCCTGCACTGGAGTCCAGTCTCTTCTGCTGGCAGAGAGCAAATGTGACCTGTGTCACTACATGACTGCGGCACATGCCTTGCTCTTGGCCAAAGACCAAATTCCTTGGCATGCCTTTCAGCACCCTGCAAAATGAGACCTTTGTGGCCTTCCCCAACTTATTTTAGAGCCATGCTGCCTCCCTGTCGAAGCTCCAGTGACACCAGCCTTTCTCCCAGGCCAGGCTCCTTCCTGTCTTCCTGCATTCACCGGACAGCTCCCTCTGTCTGAACCTTCCACCTGGCCACCCCTCCTTCCTTGGCTGGCAGATCCTAGCTCACATGTCAGACTCTGTTGGGTCCCCACGTCTTTCACACTTCCTCCAGCCTGCACTACTCCTTCAAAGCATACGTCATGTTTTTTCATCCAGCAGCCTGGATGTTTTTCCCTGTTTAATGACTGACATACTTAGCAGCTATCTTTCAGTGAACTCTGAGGGTAAAGGTCATACTTGTCTTGTTCACCTTGGGATGCCTCGTGATATGTCAGGGCGTGGGACATCTAGTAGGTGCTTGACACAATTTCATTGAATTAATGACAAAGCCTGTGGGAAGATACAGAAAAAGACGGGATGGACTGGGCGCAGTGGTTCATGCCTGTAATCCCAGCACTTTGGGAGGCCAAGGAGGGTGGATCACCTGAGGTCAGGTAAAGACCAGCCTGGCAAAATCCCGTTTCTACTAAAAATACAAAAGCCAGGCGTGGTGGCACACGCCTGTAGTTCCAGCTACTCAAGAGACTGAGGTAGGAGAATCGCTTGAACCCGTGAGGTGAAGGTTGTGGTGAGCCAAGATTGTGCCATTATACTCCAGCCTGGGCAGCACCGAGCGAGACTCTGTCTGGAGGAAAAAATAAAAAGAGGGCATGGGCCTGTGACATCCCAATCCTTGGAGGCCGTCTTCCCAGGCTCTGCCCCTGCCCTGGCTCCACACCCTCTCCCAGGACCCATCACACCTGTGCAATGGCTCCCACAGAAAGACTGAGCTCAAAGTGGGAACCACATCTGCTCACTTGGAGCCCCAGTGCCAAGCACTGTGCCTGCGTGTATTTATCCAATAAATGTGAAATTCTGTCCAGTTTTGCGGTGTTTTTGTGCTGGTGCAATATTGCAGCCCTACTCAATTAAGTGAACATTTCTGGCTGTGTTCTATGGCTCACAACTGTATTCCCAGCACTTTGGGAACCCAAGGCGGGAGGATCCTTCGAGGCCAGGAGTTTGAGACCAACCTGGGCAACATAGCAAAACCTTGTCTCTATAAAAATTAAAATATAAAAACTTATTTGAGCCTGGTTGCACGTACCTGTAGTCCCAGCTACTCAGGAGGCTGAGACAGAAGGATCACATGAGGACAGGAGGTCAAGGCTGCAGTGAGCAATGGTCACATCACCGCAGTCCAGCCTGGGCCACAGAGCAAGATACTGCCTCCAAAAAAAAAAAAAAAAAAAAAGCCAGGCGCAGTGGCTCACATCTGTAATCCCAGCACTCTGGGAGGCTGAGGTGAGCGGATCACATGAGGTCAGGAGTTCAAGACCAGCCTGGCCGACATGGTGAAAACCCCATCTCTACTAAAAATACAAAAAAATTTAGCCAGGTGTAGTGGTGGGCACCTGTAATACCAGCTACTCGGGAGGCTGAGGCAGGAGAATCACTTGAACCCAGAAGGTGAAGACTGCGGTGAGTCGAGACCACACCATCGCACTCCAGCCTGGGTGACAGAGTAAGACTCCATCTCAAAAAAAAAAAAAGAAAAAAATAGCACTTCCAACCAGGCGCAGTGGCCCGCTGCAACACAGCGAGACCTGTTTTCTAACAGCAGCAGCAGCAACGCACTACCCAGATAAGGCCCCTGGCTACTACTGGTGTCTCCCACTTCCCAGGGCGCTGTCCACGCACGTTTTAAGGACAAGTCTCGTTTACCACATAAAGGTTTTTATTGAACTCAAACTCAGGGGCTCCAAAGCCTGAGGAAAAAGAGGGAGGCTGGGGTTTGCACGCAGAGGCCCAGGCCCCATCCCGAGGCCCCACTCCCCACCCCACCTACCCTTTTAATTGCTCCTGACTCAACGAGGGTTTCAGCAGCTACCAATCTAAGCTAACCCACTCTAATTAGGTAATCCCCCGCCCTCCCCCCTCCCTGCTCTAGCACGTTGCCAAGCCAGGCACCCACCTAGGAGCCACCACTGCGAGGCCAGCCCTCCGCTGACCTCTCTCCGTTTCTCCCAGCGCCTCCCGCTGCCGGCCTGGCCTCCCTCCAACCCACTTCCCACAAGTCTCCAGGGCATGTCACTTCCTCCACCCTGGCCCTCTTCTTCCAGCATCCTCAGCTCCTCCATCCTGCTGCGGCTTCTCCACTATCCTCCCTAAAGGTTCTTCTAGTTCCCTGGCCCCTTATCTTCTGCCCAAACCTCCCACCCCTGCTGGGGCCCCGGGTCAGCGCCGGCCCGCCGCATGGGTCCGCTGGTGGCGGATGAGGTCGGAGCTCTGGGAGAAGGCCTTTCCGCAGTCATCGCACTTGTAGGGCCGCTCTCCGCTGTGCACCCGGTGATGCTGCAGCAGCGTGGAGGAGCGGCAGAAGCCCTTGCCGCACACAGCGCACCTGTAGGGCCGCTCGCCCGTGTGGGAGCGCTGGTGCTGGATGAGCGTGGAGGAGCGATTGAAGGTCTTGCCGCAGTCGGGGCAGCTATAGGTGCGGCCTGGCAGGTGGGTGCGGGCGTGGATGGCCAGCACCGAGCTTTGGCCAAAGCGCTTGCCGCACTCAGGGCACTTGAAGGGCTTCTCCCGGGCGTGGCTGCGGGCATGGGGAATAAGGGCCGACCGCTGGGAGAAGCTCTTGCCGCAGATGCCACAGCTGAAGGGCCTCTGACCGGTGTGCACCCTCTGATGGCTGCGCAGGGACGAGTTCTGGCTATAGCACTTGCCGCACTCGGTGCAGCTGTAGGGCCTCTCGTGGCTGTGGGTGCGCTGGTGTCGCAGGAGGTAGGAGCTGTCGCCGAAGGCCTTGCCACAATGTGGGCACTTGTAGGGCTTCTGGCCAGAGTGAGTGCGCTGGTGGCGAAGCAGGTAAGAGCTGTCAGCGAAGGCCTTGCCGCAACGGGGACATTTGTAGGGTCGCTCGCCAGTGTGGGTGCGCTGGTGTTTGATGAGGTCAGAGCTCTGGGAAAAGGCCTTGCTGCAGACCTCACATTTGTAGGGCTTCTCACCGGTGTGAATGCGCTGGTGCTGGATCAGGGTGGAACCCCGCCCGAAGCTCTTCCCGCAGATGCCGCAGATGTTAGGCCGAGGGCCCTGCCCACCCCTGGCCCGGCCACCCCGCCGGCTTGGACCTCGAAGGGCTCCTGTGAGACCCAGGGGATTCTGAAGCATCTCAAACTGTGGTGTAGACAGCAGGGCCCCTGTGGGCATCTCAAAAGGTGGTCCTATGGGCAGGTCCCCTGTGGGCTGCTCCCCAAACCCCTGAGTGAAGGAGTCCAGGGGGTGAACTCCTACAGAGATATTCAAGGGACTCTTTTCCTCGGGGTTCAGAAGCATCTCTGCACCCTCCTGGAATTTGGAACTTTGAGCTTCAAATTCTGGGCTTTGGGTTTTGAGCTCAGGGTTCTGGGATTCATATCTAGAGCTCTCAGATTCATAGCCGGGGCTCCGGGGTTCGTAGCCGGGGCTCCGGGGTTCATACCCAGGGCTCCGGGGTTCATAGCCAGGGCTTTGGGGTTCATACCTAGGGCTCTGGGATTCAAACTCAAGGCTCTGAGAATCTGATTCAGGGCTTCTGGGGGCAAACTCAGGGCTTGGGGGCACAAGCCCAGGGCTTCGCGACTCAAATCCCGGGCTTTCAGGCTCAAATCTGGGGCTTTGGGGTTCAAACTCGGGGCTTTGTGTCTCAAACCCAGGGCTCTGGGGTTCAAGCCCAAATGGTATCTCTTCGACTTCATAGTCCCCAGTGCCTTCTTGCTGAGAAATTTCCTCTTCCTCATTCTCACTCATGTTGCCTGCAGGATCAGAGAATTACAGAAAATCCAGATCGTGTGAGACCTGGAAGGTCATTTGGTCTATTAGCAACCATACACCTCCCACCTCACAAGCAGGGTTGCTGGCCCCTAGACAAGTGCTGAAATTCCCACGCCCCCCTCAGCTGACCCAGGACACCCCAGTCCCCGCCTGCCCCTCCTCCGAGTCCCAGGTGTCCCAGCCCCGGGCCCTCGCTCCCTCCCTGGAGCCACAGTCCCTTCTCCTGCGCGCAGGTCCACTCCTCGGACGGGCGCTCCCTCCTCACCTCTGAGGGACCCTTCGGGGCTTCTCATTTCGTCAGAACTCTGCACATCCTGGGGCTCGAGGCCCCATGGCGACGCCTCCCGCTCCATCCCCGCGGGCTCCCCGTGCAGCGGCGGCGGCGATGGCGGCCGATCCTGCGACCCGGCCTGGGTTGCCCTGAGCCCCGGGGCCCCGCCGCCCGCCCGCCCGCTCAGCGCCGCCCAAGGGACGCGGCGGCCCAGCCCGAGCCCCCGAGGCCGGACGTCTTGACCCCGCGCCTCTCCAGCGCGCCGGGCCCCTCCCCTGCCCGCGGCCCCGCCCCCTCCCAAGGTCTCGGCCTCCCCGTGGCCCTCACCGGCCCCCGAGCGTCGCGGCCTCGGGGATGAGGGGCTTCGCGACTACCCCGGCGGCCCCCGGCCCCGCTCCCGCCCGAGCCCCCACCGTCTGGCCCCCGGCCCCGGGCTGGGCTGCGCTGTCCAACGGCCGCCCGGCCCCCTCCCCCGCACAGGAAGTGTCCGTCCGCGGCCAGGTCCCCCCGCCGGCTCGCGCCGCGGCCTCTCTAGGAGCCGCTGGAGGTGGAAACTCGTTGGCATTAACCCTGGGCTGGAGGGGCCCGGCCTCGGGGTGGGCAAGGACCTGACACCCCGGAGCCCACCGGGCTACCGGGGCAGTATGTGTGCCTATGTTCTAGGTCTCCGTCCCTCCAAAGGCCCGTCTGTCCATCTCCCTGGCCCCGCGTTGTCGGTGCGTGTGGCCAAGGGCGAGGCGACAAGCGAGACCAACGTCAGCGAGAAGGAGCGACGCTTCCCGGCGCCAGCGGGGGCGGTGTCTCTCTCCCTCCCCTCCCGGGCCTCCGGGTCAGCTCCGGCAGCGCCTCGGGAACCGGGACGGACTACCCTTGGCCTCGCCGAGGTCCTTGAGCCTGGGACCCCCTCCTGGAACTCCGCTCCCCCGCACCTGCGCGCCCGCTCCCGTTCCTCCGGTCCCCACCCCGCTCGGCTCTCCTGATCCCCCTCCTCCCTCCTAGAGGGCTAGGATAGTTGCCAAGGAGACAGCCCCGCCCCGGCTCCCAGAGGCACCGCTTCTCCGCGCCTGGAAGCCTGGCGGTTGGCCGATGGGGCTCGTGCTCTAGCCGCCCCGCCTCCTCCAACCCCGCGGACGGCTGGGCGTTAATGGTCGCCAGGGAACGCCAGGCGCCTTCCTGATTGGCCGGGGGAGCTCTGGTCGGGTCCGCCTCCCCTGTCGGCCAGAAGCCCCTGCAGGAGGTAGTGGGAGGGAGGTGTCAGGCGTTTCCCGTCCAGCCGGGCCTGTGCCTTCAAAACTTTTCCCGCCCCTACTTAACCTCTATTATGTTTTATGAAAGGCAGAAGATCTGAGAACAGACACCCTTCCTCCTCGTCGGCCTCACACCCCTTGCCTCTCCTCTCCACCTTCCCCAGCGCCTGAGTTTAACTCAATCCCTGGCAGCCTTTGTCCCTGGTTGCTGGATTTCCTCACAGGGAGGCAGGATTCCTTCCAGGTGAGGGTGATACAGAGGAGAATTGGACTAAGAGAACCATCTGGCCTTCGAGGCATCATCTAACAATTCTCCAGTCTTGTCTGACTCGAATGGAGGCTTGCAGAGGAAGGGAACCTGAGAAACACTGCCTCGGGTGCAGCTTTGAATTGAGGAAGTGAGCCTGGACAGACAACTTAATATCATCCAATTATTGTCTTTTTTTCTACGCTTCGTGCTGAAACAAGTTTGGCAGCGTTCTTGACAGTTAATGAGCCTGATGCCCCTGTGTGATGCAGGAGCCATGGATCGTGTTTTCTTGTCGCCTACCCAGACAAATGAAGGAAAGAGAATGTTTGTGAGGAAGGATGGCCTCTTCTTCATGAAAAGGGATGAGAACAAGAACTTGGAGAATGCCAAGTGGCAAAAAGTGGAGAGAAACTATCTAAAGGCTTACAGGCGGGGCGCGGTGGGTCATGTCTGTAATCCCAGCACTTTGGGAGGCCCAGGCAGGTGGATCACGAGGTCAGGAGTTCGAGACCAGCCTGACCAAATTGGTGAAACCCTGTCTCTACTAAAAAATACAAAAATTAGCCAGGCGCGATGGCGGGCACCTGTAATCCCAGCTACTTAGGAGGCTGAGGCAGGAGAATCCCTTGAAACGGGGAGGCAGAGGTTGCAGTGAGCCGAGATCTCGCTACTGCACTCTTGTCTGAGTGACAGAGCAGGACTCTATCTCTAATAATAATAGTAATAATAAAGGCTTACAAATAAAATCACAAGAGCTCATCCCACAAATGAAGCGGGGAAAACTTTCTGCCCTCCAGAGGAACAACTTCCAGCTCCACAGCTCTCTCCCATCCCAATGTCTGTTTGTCCTGAAACCTTTGCTAAGAATGGCTTACATGGTCCAGCACTAGAGTCCACAGTCAGGGAAGCCTACAAGAGGACCAGTTTTGGGAAGAGCTGGACATGGGGTACTCTCTGGTCATCCCCAAAGCACTCAGGTAGGAAACAAGTCTCCTTCACAAGATATTTTTTTCTGACCTCCAACTTGTTGATCCACGAAAATTCACACAGGAGAGCAGCCACACCCTAAAAATGGGTGGCGAGACCTCCAACCACAGCTCTGACACTATCCACTGCCTGCACTCTTATGAGCCACAAGTCCCAGGTGTAGCAGAAGCTGGGCCAAGACTTCACGCTGCCCAGGCACCCGCATTTCCACGTGCAAATTCAGCCTCACGGGCACCTGGAGTAAGAGTGGCTCAGTTCCAGCCAGCCTCCTCCAGGACCAGGGAGCCATCTATGCATAGGGACTTCACAAGGAAGCCAGCCTCCACCTGACACACAGCCACAGCAGTGAGAGGCTCCAAGCCCAGTGACCCAACACCAGCTAATCCAAGGCAGGAGAAACTTGGGAGTCCACTGGCGTTGTCCTACCTCTGCATCCATGAGGATGAACCCTGCGCATGTCCTGAGTCGGGTGGTCACTTTGTTCACAGCATTATCTCCTGGCATGCACAGCACTAGGGCAGAGCCATTCAGTGTGCAGCCAAGGTTTATGGTCCAGCCAACGTGGCCAGTGCTGCAGGATAGAGAGATCCCTCACAGACGTTCTCAGTGAGAGGAGCTTCCTTGTGCATTGCTCCCTCCCCTCATGCAAAGGACAAGCTCTCTTAAAGGCCTTCCATCTGATGCTACAGGAGATGCCCCAGTGTACTGAACATGATCCTAGGTACCCAGGAAGACAGCAGCCACGGTACAGGGCCCTTTGGAAAGAATAAAGAAATGGAAGTCTTTGTGTATGCCTGACATTGGGGACAGGCCCCGGGACCAACCACTACTCTTGCAAAACTAAGAGCAGTGTGAAAATAATGTTTTGTTTGCAGCAGTGGTTCTCTCAAACTTTCACAGGCATCAAATTCTATCCCTGGAGATTCTCATTCAATAGATGAGGAACTGGGCCCAGGGAGTAGCTACCTTTTTTTTTTTTTTTTTGAGATGGAGTCTCACTGTTGCCCAGGCTGGAGTGCAGTGGCGCTATCTCTGCTCAGTGCAACCTCCACCTCTGAGTTCAAGCGGTTCTCCTGCCTCAGCCTCCTGAGTAGCTAGGACTATAAGCATGTGCCACCATGCCTGGCAATTTTTTTTTTTTTTTTTAATGTATCTTTAGTGGAGACGGGGTTTCACCATGTTAGCCTGGATAGTCTCGGTCTCCTGACCTCGTGACCCGCTTGCCTCAGCCTCCCAAAGGCTGGGATTACAGGTGTGAGCCACTACTCTGGCCGAGAGTAGCTACGTTTTCAAAAGATACTCAGCCCGGCCCTACCTCTAGGTGGAAATATCTACACCACAAACTAAGGAGCTGAGAATGGGGTGGGGCTAAGGCTTAAGGGTTTCATGACACTAAAAAAGGTGATGAGATGCTGGAAAGTTGGGCCATGAGGGCAGGAAGCAGAGGAGTTGGAGTCTGGCTTCTGGGCCCTAAATAAGCTTTACAAACTTCAAAGCACTCAGAGACTTCTAGGTAATAATCATGGCACCTTTAATTGGCGTACTCAGGGCCAAGATCTGACTGTCAGTCTGGGCTGAGAACTGGTGTTGCAAGCTGGGCTTTCCCCAGGCTGTGTTGAGGGTTAGGGGAGGGGACTGGGATGTACACTGGGAATTAAAACCTGGTACAAAGGTATCTCCTACTGCCAAGGTGCCTCTTCTCACCCCATGTGTCCCTGTGATAAGGTGACACACGAGTCAACCCACCCCAGAAAAGCTGAGGGAGAGAGACCTTGGTGGGGTCGGATTGGAGATGAGGTTGGAATAAAGTCAGTTCATTACTTCACTTGACACAGTGTCTTGTCTCCAAAACTTCTACCTCCTTCCAGGTTGACAAATCTGGTCTCTTCCTCCCTGGGTAGGCCAGACACAGGGCTGAGCTGGGTGACAGGCGGGGGCGCACAGGCCAGCAGAGGTCACAGGCCCTTGCTCTCCTTGGGCAGGTGCTGCTCATGGCTGGACTCTGCCCACAAAGGAATTAGTGGTAGATGGATAATGGAGTCGTGAAGTGCTGGGGGGATTCTGTGTAGAGCTTGGGGATACAGATGGGTACAGTTGCCACTGGCTACAAATCTAACACCAGGTGTTCCTGGCCTAGTCCTCTCTGTCCATGATGGCACATACTTAAAGACAGCAAAGATGGCGCGTACCTAAAGACAGGAAAGATGCAAGGATTGTTTTGACACAGACATGGGTTCAAGAAATACTTCCCTTTCTTCTTTGCTGTACTTTAAACACCAAAAACACTAGAAGCAAGCAATGATGAATGGCAACGCGTGCTTGGTCAGGAGCTGATGGGATGAGTGGCCACGGTAAGTTGGGAGTTCTGGCTCCAGCCCAGCTCCCAACAACTGCGACTTTCTGAGAGCCTAGGTGGACTTCCAAAATCTTTGGATTTTTCTAGAGATGCCAGAAACCTGGATTTTGGTGCAAAATAACCTTTTAAATCTTCACCACTAATTGTTATCACTTAAAAACACTGCCTGGGCCCAAATCAATACAGCAACTGCAGGCCAGATCCAGTACAGGGCCACTGGTTTTTTAAGTTGTGCAGCAAAAAGACAATGAAGGTCAGTGCGGTGGCTCCCCTGTAATCCCAGCACTTTGGGAGGCCAAGGTGGGCAAATTGCTTGAACCCAGGAGTTTGAGACCAGCCTGATCAACATAGTGGGAACCCCATCTCTGCAAAAAAACTAAAACTTAGCCAGGCATAGTGTAGCCCACCTGTAGTCTCAGCCATCTGAGAGCCTGAGGCAGGAGGATTCCTTGAGCCCAGCAGGTCTAGGCTGCAGTGAGCCCAGTTCACACCACTGCATTCCAGCTTGGGTGATGAGCAAGATGCTGTCTTAAAAATATGTAAATAAATAAACAGACAATGGGTATTGTGTTGTGGGAGGGTCAAAGAAAATAAAAAAGAAAAGGCCAGGTGAGGTGGCTTAAGCCTGTAATCCTAGCACTTTGGGAGGCAGAGGTGGGTGGATCACCTGAGGGCAGGAGTTCGAGACCAGCCTAGCCAACATGGTGAAACCCCATCTCTACTAAAAATATAAAAATTAGCCAGGCATAGTGTGCCTGTAATTCCAGCTACTCAGGTGGCTGAGGCAGGAGAATCGATTGAACCCAGGAGGCGGACATTGCAGTGAGCGGAGATTGCACCATTGCACTTCCAGCCTGGGCAACAAGAGCAAAACTCCATCTCAAAAAATTAAAAAAGTAAAAAGAAAAAACAGAGAAAACAAGGTTCTCCTCTACCTCAATCCTCTTAGCACCTTTGGGAGGAGAAACAGCTTTTGCTTCCGGGTATGCAGGTCTGGGGGGTTCTCACCTCAGCCCTGCCTCAGCAAAGGTGGCCTTGGAGAGCCCAGGGCAGCGGGGAGCAAGGTGCTGGCAGAAGAGGCTGCTGAGGGCCCACGTTCAGAATGTCCACACCCCAGGCCAGCTCTTGCCGTGGATTCTGGGACCTCCCTGCAGGCCGCTGCAGAGGTTCGGGCCCCTGAGCCCATCTCGGGCCTCCCGCACTGTCTAGATAGTCACTTTTGAGGCCTTCATCCACATTCCTGGAATATCTCTGGGTACAGCTGGAAGCCCACGGGTGGGTCCAGGTCCCTGCGGCCAGGGGTCAGGGTCACAGACAGACCCCCAGGGCGCCGGCCCCTGCGCCCCTCGCCCCCTGGCCGATGGACCCACTGGTGCTTGGCCATGCCAGTCTTCAGGCCGAAACAGCGGCCACACTGTGGGCAGCGGTAGGGCTTCTCGCCGGTGTGGACGCGCAGGTGCGAAGTCAGAGCCGTGCGGCGCATGAAGGCCCTGCCACACTCGGAACAGCGGTGGGGCCGCTCCCCGCGATGGATGGCCCGGTGTTTGCTCAGGGAGGAAGCATGGCCAAAGCCCTTGCCGCAGTCTGCACAGTAGAAGGGCTTCTCACCCCTGTGGCTGTAGATGTGCTCCACTAGCGTGGAGCGCCAGGCGAAGCTCTTCCCGCACACGTAGCAGCCGTGACGCTGGTCCGCTCGGGGGACAGGGGGGTGGACAAAAAAGCGGGGGCGACTCCGGTGCCGCGCCTTGGACGGCTGCTCCAACCTGGTAAAGGGGGCTTGGGGAACCTTCAGCCCAGGAGACCCGGCGGTCACAGGGACAGGCTTCTCCAGGGCTCCCATCCCTTCCCTTTGTCTTTCCTCTTCCTCGTTTCTGGAATCTGCTGGGAGATAAAGACGAGAGAGTTCAGGCGCGGCTCATCCTGGTCCTTGAATCCCACAGCCCGCGTGGACAGGGACAGGCCTGCTGGACCCCCGGCTGCCCCTGGGAGATGGAGGAGTGACACCTGCTCTTCCGCTGCTGAGCCAGACAGAGCCAGGAGGGAGAAACAGTCCATTCCGCCTTGGGGCTGGGGAAATGTCACCACAGGGAAGGGCAGAGATGACATGAACATCTGGGCCTGATCCAGAAGGAGGAGCGGACACCTGGCAATATTCTAGGCAGAAGGAACAGCACCAACAAAGGCAGAACCAGGCGGGCATGGCCAAGTTCAGTGGGGCTGGATACTCTGCAAAGGCTGAGGCAAGAACTGAAGGAAGGAAATGGGAGGGCGGGGTAGGGGGCGGGGCATAGGAACCATCCTGCAGGAAAACGACTGGGGCGGGTCATGATGTGGAGGTAGAGCCAATGGAACTTAGAGGCCGGGCGCGGTGGCTCATGACTGTGATCCCAGTGCTTTGGGAGGCCGAGATAGAGGATGGCTAGAGTTCGAGACCAGCCCGGGCAACACACCGGGACCTCCACCTCTTTAAAAAAAATTTTTTAATTAAAAAAACAAAACAAAACAAAATAGCCAGGCGTGGTGGCTAGTGCCTTTACAGTCTTAGGTACTCTGGAGGCCCAGGCGGGAGGATTGCTTGATCCGATTGCTTGAGCCTGAGGCTGCAGTGAGCTATGATGGCACCACTGCACCTCAGTCTGGGCAACAGAGACCCTATCTCTAAAGCAAAACAAAAAAGCCCCCAGAGTGTAGTGACCACGCAGAGGTGAGGACTCAGAGGCAGGTATGGCAGGGCCAGAGCCCCCATCACAGCCCCTTTCTAGGCTGCATCCGGGGCCAAGGCAGGGACTCACCCTGCTGGCCGTAGTTGAGAAGGCAGTTCAGAGAGGAAACTGCTAAGCAGGTTGCTGGGGGTGGCAGAGGAAACCGGGATGGGACAGGAACAGAGAAGTCCCCATGGGACTTAGCACCCGATACTCCACCTGGGTCCGTTTCTGTCGGACACTTCGTCACCTCCGGATCCCGGGCAGCTGGATCCCACAGTTCGGCCGCCTCCTCCACCCAGGAGATGAGCGCCGGCTTGCTGCCTCCGACTCCTGGGGGAGAAGAACGCAAACCCCACGCTGCGGGGAGGCCGCCTGCCCGGCCCCGGGACCCCCAACTCCACGCGCAGCTCCCAGAGGCGCGGTAGGGCGTGTAGGGGCGCAGGGCCCAGGTGAGCAGGTGGGGGTCTCACCGAGCGCGCCCAGGTGGCCGTAGGTCTCCCGCATCACGTCCCGGTACAGGGCCCTCTGCGCGGGTCGCAGGCAGCCCCACTCCTCCCGAGAGAAGTACACGGCCACGTCGGCGAAGCTCACGGTCCCGGGCTTTCTCCACTCGGGTACTGCCCCGTTTGGATCCCGAGAAGGGAGCGGGGCCAGAGGCGGCGCCATGGGGACTGTCAGCCCCAGCGACGAATCGGTCACCTCCCCTGGCCGGGCCTGGGCATACGGAACCTCCCGCGCCCGAGAACGCCTCCCCGACCCAGTCCCAAGGGAAGGAGGGAGGTCACTATAACCCCCGAGGGCCCACTAGAGGGGATGGAAACTAAGGGCCGATGGCTGCGAGTCCATAGTCAGAAATGGACTATTTCTTCAAAAAAAACTGCGGCTGCGCGACCTCTCCACCTTTGCCCCTGCGCAATTGTACCCAGGACGACGCCCCCCGCCCCCACCCCCAGGCAGCGTTCTCTCCGTGCCCTAATCCAAAATGGCCGTTGCGGCTACAGGCGCCGGCCTGGAAAACCAACCGAGTGTGCTCTGGCCCCACCCGGTGAGGCCGCACAGCTCAGAGCTCAGCCCGGGTTTGCAGAAACAAAGGAGCTTCCCACGGAAGGGAACCGTCGTGAACTCAGAAGTTAGTTTTCGTCCCTGGACCTTTTTAGAATCGGGCTCCAGCCCATCACCCTCTCATTTTGTCCTCAGGAACGGCGGCAGCAGTCTCTTCCCAATGTTGAGAGCAAAAAGTGTGAACCCAGAAATTCCGAGATCTCAATTACTTGCCAAGGTTGACGACACGCGCGTGACAGACTCAGGAAGTCCTCACGACATGTGCCCAAGGTGGTCGGGACACAGCTTAGTTTTATACATTTTATGGAGACATGAGACATCAATCAGTGTATGTAAGAAGTACATTGGTTCTGTCTGGAAAGGCGCGACAACTTGAAGCAAAGGCAGGAAGACCTGAAGCAGGGGGGGCTTCCAGGAAACTGAAGGTGAGGCACAAACTGTTGCATTCTTTGGAGTTTCTGATTAGCCTTTCCAAAGGATGCAATCAGGTATGCATCTATGTCAGCCAGCAAAGGGGTGACTTTGAATAGAATGGGAGGAAGGTTGGCCCTAAGCAGTTCCCAGCTTGACTTTTACCTTTAGGGTAGTGATTTGGGGGGCCCCAAGATTTATTTTCCTTTCACAAAAGCCATGGAGTGGATACAGGAGACCCTCCTCTATTGTAGGCTTGTTGGAGCTTGAAATCCTTGGAGCTTCTAGATGGCGGAAGCAACCAGGAGAGTAGGGTAAGGTTGAGAAGGTCAGAGGGTCCTCTCTTCTAGGAGTTTCTCCCATGTGCTGTGCAGGACGCCTCCCGACCGCCGGTTTCCCTCTAGCTGCAGCCAGGCTCTCGGCTCCCCTCAGGTCCTGCCCCTAGGCGGATGGCCGAAGACTCCTCCGCTCAAAACCAGCTCATCCCTTTCTTACCCCAACCTGCTTCCCCTGGGATCTTTATGTCAGTAAATGTCCCCAGCTCTCCCACCAGACCTCCGTCTCACACTTCCTGATGGCCTACTCTGTGCTCCACCTGACTTCATACGTGTCCTGTGTACTGGAGTCAGAGTAATCTCCAAGGCGCCTTTTAGCTCTTAGTGGGCTCTTTAGTTGAATCTAGGCCTAGATTGAGAATCGTCTGTAATCCTATCTACTGGGAGGTCGAGGCATGAGCATCTCTTGAGTCCAAGAGAGTGAGATCCGCCTGCTCAACTTAGGAGACCCTGTCTCAAAAATAAATAAGAAAAAAGGAAAGAATACAAATTGTATCTGTTTTACATGTACTCAGGGATCTTCACAAGACAGAGCAGTCAGAAAAAATGGCTGAAGCCAAGTTTGGCTTTTATATTTCTTTTCTTTTTTTTTTTTTTTTTGAGAGACAAGAAAATTTATTTTTATGGCTTTCTTCCTATGTGTATTTCAAGTCTTTTTCAAAACAAGGCCCCAGGACTCTCCAGATTCAGTTATGTCCTTGGGCTTGGTTGGCTGCTGCAGGAGCCTTAAGGAGCCTTTTACAAATGTTAGAGTTACTCATTTATCAACATTAAACCCTAGGATAGATGCAACAGAGCAAGACTCCTTCCTCCATGGAATGTGCTGATTTCAGATGACGTGGCACCCAATGTAGAAAATGCTGGAATTTTCCTTGGAACTGCACTGTGATGAGAAGTGCTTGCCATGAACATAAGCTACTGTCTTGTCTTGTCTTTTTGAGACGGAGTTTTGCTCTCGTTGCCTAGGCTAGAGTGCAATGGTGTGATCTCTGCTCACCACAACCTCCACCTCCCAGGTTCCAGCGATTCTCCCACCTTAGCCTCCCAAGTAGCTGGGATTACAGGCATGCACCACCACGCCCAGCTAATTTTTATATTTTTACTAAAGACGGCGTTTCTCCATGTTGGTCAGGCTGATCTCAAACTCCTGACCTCAGGTGATACGCCCGCCTCAGCCTCCCAAAGTGTTGGGATTATAGACTTGAGCCATCGCACCTGGCCATCGCGCCTGGTCTTTTCTTTTCAGTTTTTGAAGATAAAGCAGGAAATAATCTCTGAAGTAGTTGCTAAAAATTCCCAAAACAACAAAAACACATGCTTCCACTTCACTGATAAAAATTTATCACAGTTTGGCCGGGCGCGGTGGCTCAAGCCTGTAATCCCAGCACTTTGGGAGACCGAGACGGGCGGATCACGAGGTCAAGAGATCGAGACCATCCTGGCTAACACGGTGAAACCCCGTCTCTACTAAAAAATACAAAAATCTAGCCGGGCGTGGTGGCGGCGCCTGTAGTCCCAGCTACTCGGGAGGCTGAGGCAGGAGAATGGCGTGAACCCGGGAGGCGGAGCTTGCAGTGAACTGAGATCTGGCCACTGCACTCCAGCCTGCGCGACAGAGCGAGACTCCGTCTCAAAAAAAAAAAAAAAAAAAATTTATCACAGTTTGGCACCTGAGTCTAGTTCAGCTGACAGATGAGCTGATTGATACATTCACCCCGATAACCAGGTGTGCCCATCTCCTTGAGGAAGCCCACTCTATTTTTGGTAGCATCATGGGCCACTGAGAGGTGGAAAGGACGCAAGAACCATGAGAGCTCCTGGAAATGCTTCCCTGGGAAGGCAATTTAATGAATGAGGTCTTCCAAGCAAATGACACCAAACTTCCCCAGGTCCTCCTCAATCACTGTGTTGTCTGTCAGGGGGATGGTCTTCCTCTTCCTTTTTTTTTTTTTTTTTTTTTTGTGAGACAGAGTTTTACTCTGTCGCCCAGGCTAGAATGCAGTGGCGTGATCTCGGCTCACTGCAAGCTCTGCCTCCCGGGTTCACGCCATTCTCCTGCTTCAGCCTCCCGAGTAGCTGGGACTACAGGCGTGTGCCAACATGCATGGCTAATTTTTTGTATTTTTAGTAGAGATGGGGTTTCACCGTGTTAGCCAGGATGGCCTCGATCTCCTGACCTCGTGATTCACCCGCCTCGGCCTCCCAAGGTGCTGGGATTACAGGCGTATGCCACCACACCTGGCCAATGGTCTTATTCTTGACCTTGGCTGGTCCATGTTTCAAAATGAGCTCCCAGACAGACTTCAGATTTGGAAATCCTCAGGTCACATAAGGTTCCACTATACGTAGCATTTTTAGGTTCTGGGGGTGACTTTTTACAAAGACACCACTAAAAATTTTCTTTAGGCGAAGTCTTGCAATGGTTCTCTGCACCAGTAAACTCACACCATCAATCCTTTTGATGCATACAACAAAGGCCAAGGAATGTTTATCTGGCAATTCCAAGGCATGAGGTTTCACTTCTAGTCATCTGAGATGCACCTTGTCACGTTTCTCCTGCCAGGAATCATGTAGGAATGATTCCAGTCGCTTAAACCTGAGCCCTTTTCCTGTCCTCTGCTCCTTCTTTGCCAAAAGTGCCTGCTTTGCCTGGGTGGCTTTGAGGGCTTGATAAGACCTCCTATTTTTCAGATTTTCTGGAACCAAAAGGATTTTTCTTTGCTCTTGCTCCACCATCTTTCTAGTGGTGCAGCTACTGATCATTTTCTTTCTTTTCTTTCTCTTTCTCTTTCTTTCTTTCCTTTTTTTTTTCTTTTTTTTTGACGAAGGCTCGCTTTGTCGCCCACGCCACCGCGCCCGGCCTATATTTCTTAAAGAACTATAATTTTTATTTATTTATTTATTTTTTTGAGATGGAGTTTCGCTCTTGTTGCCCAGGCTGGAGTGCACTGGCGCAATCTCGGCTCACTGCAACCTTTGCCTCCCGGATTCAAACGATTCTCCTGCCTCAGCACCCTGGATAGTTGGGACTACAGGCATGCACCACCACACTCAGCTAATTTTGTATTTTTAGTAGAGATAGGGTTTCACCATGTTGGTCAGGCTGGTCTTGAACTCCTGACCTCAGACAATCCACCCACCTTGGCCTCCCAGAGTGCTGGGATTACAGGTGTGAGCCACTGTGCCCGGCCAAGGACAATAAATTTTAAAAGAAATGACAGGACAAAGAAAATCTGGCTAGGGCAGTAAAATTTTCAAGGGGAGATCTATGTGGGGGGGAGGGTGTGAAACAGGTGGAAGATATGGATTACTTTGTTAAGTGTGTTTATTCTGGTCCCTTGTGGACTCTAAGGGCTATTTTCTCACCCTGGGGAGCAGAGGCAAAAAGTTTGGGAGGGGCATAAGGATTCAGTGTTGCCCAGGGGGTGTGGTCCCAGCCCTAGGTCTCCCAGGCTCTCAGGCCTCTGAAGGACACAAGAGAAAACTGAAAACTTCCCTTAAGAGCAATGACATTTCTTCTCTTACAGTGCCCACCCCTCAGCGTGGTGCCTATCACCTCCACAGTCTGGAAGAGCTCTGGGAGGTGCTGGAAGCTCCCGTGGGGGTCTGGACCCTCCTGGGAAAGAACCAGGGGCAGAGTTCACAATCCTGGAGGTCAGCCTCTGAGGCCCATGTCACCAGGCCAGTGGCTCCACTGAAGGGCCCCTGGCTCAAGCACTGCCAGCAGTGGGGACAGGCGAAGGAGCACAGGCCCGCTGGGCAGCAGGAAGCAGGGGTGGACCTCGCTGTGGGAGAAGTGGGTGCTGTACCAGCTGCAGGAAAAAGGTCACTCCCCGGAGTACCTGGGGCCTGGCTGAAGGTACTGGCGAAGCGTGGCTGCACTGGGGACAGGAATGAGGTACTGGGTGAATGCCAGATGTTGATGCCAGGCAGAGACTGCAGGTTTGGGGAAGGCCTGGCTGCAGGGAGCCTTGGCCAAAAGCTCAGAGACCAGGTCAGTGTTTCTGATGCCAAGGGCTTATGACAGCTCCCAAATAGACTCCTGCTGGTCCCTTCCAAATGTGTTATTTTTCTGAGTGGCCATTGGGAAACTGCTGATTCAAGACTTACCTCTTGCCTTGTCAACTCCCCAAGGCCTACTCATATTCAACCTTCACAACAGCAGCATTCAGATGGGTACCCCTGGGAGCCACCCTCATCCCCCACCCCCAGACAGTGCTGGCCAACTGAGGAGCTCACCAGGCAGTGACATTCCCACATGCCTCAAGGCCAACCAGAGGAGCCGCCATCAACCACACAGGCAGCTATTCCAGGGCCCAGGGGCCTGGAGAGAGAAAGGTGAACTTTCTTCATCCTAAACTTGAATTCACGCACTGCCACTGAATGGGCCGATTCATAGCACGGCCTGACTATAGTCCCATGGAATGTCACCAGTCAAATTAAGTGCTGGGCATGGTGCCTCATGCCTGTAATCCCAGCACTTTGGGAGGCCAAGGAGGGCGGATCACCTGAGATTAGGAGTTCAAGAGCAGCCTGGCAAACATGGTGAAACCCCATCTCTACTAAAAATACAAAAATTAGCTGGGTGTGGTGGCACATGCCTGTAATCCCAGCTACGCCAGGCTGAGTCAGGAGAATGGCATGAACCCGGGAGGCAGAGGTTGCAGTGAGCCGAGATCACACCACTGCACCCGAGCCTTGGTGACAGAGTAAGACCCTGTCTTTAAAAAGAAAAAAAAAAAAAAAAAAAAAAAAAAAAAAGGCCGAGCACGGTGGCTCACACCTGTAATCTCAGCACTTTGGGAGGCTGAGGCAGGCCAATCAACTGAGGTCGGGAGTTTGAGACCAGTCTGACCAACATGGAGAAACCCCATCTCTACTAAAAATACAAAATTAGCCAGTCGTGATGGCGCATGCCTGTAATCCCAGCTACTCAGGAGGCTGAGGCAGGAGAATCACTTGAACCCGGGAGATGGAGGTTGTGGTGAGCTAAGATTGCGCCATTGCACTCTAGCCTGGGCAACAAGAGCGAAACACCATCAAAAAAAAGAAAAAAAGAAAGAAGGAAAGGGAAAAGAAGCCCAGTCTGGGCCAGGTGTGGTGCCTCACACCTGTAATCCCAGCACTTTGTGAGGCTGAGCTGGGGCAGATCCCCTGAGGTCAGGAGTTCATGACCAGCCTGGCCAACATGGTAAAACCGCGTCTCTACTAAAAATAAAAATAAAAAAAATTAGCCAGGTATGGTGGCAGGTGCCTGTAATCCCAGCTACTCGGGAGGCTGAGGCAGGAGAATCACTTGAACCTGGGAGGCGGAGGCTGCAGTGAGCAGAGATCGCTCTACTGCCCTCCAGCCTGGTCAGCAGAGCGAGACTGTCTCAAAAAAAAAAAAAAAAATTGTAGCAGGACGAGCCTCAGACAAGAACCCCTCAGACACCGAGTTGTGAAAGAAAGGGCTTTATTCAGCTGGGAGCATCAGCGGACTCA